GGCAAAAAAAGGACCCCGACAGCAGTTACAGGCAGTCCCCGAGTCGGACTTACGTCGGATCCGTAGTTATGAATGGGGCCCTCCCTCTCCCTGGTCTCCAGCAGAGGAGCAAAGCAGAGCAAAGCCGCGGAGCACACGGGCAGCGGACAGCCCAGACGTGTCTGGGCTGTCTGCTGCCCGCGTGTTCCGCTGCTTTGCTTCCTCTCCCTGGTCTGCTGGAGACCAGGGAGAGGGCCCCGTTCGTAACTGCGGATCCGACTTAAGTCGGATCTGTGTAGCTCGGGGACTGCCTGTATAGTGGGAGACTGCAGTATTAAAATCTGTGTTTGAACTATTTATGATATGATACTACTGAGATGCATGCTAACTTCTCTGTGATAATCATGTAGATTGATTTGTGTTTGATAATGCATCATCGAATATCAGCTGTGCTCTCCAAAAACCTGATCCAAAAGCCCTTTTAAGTGAGTGGGACTTTGGGACAGATCCTTGATTAATGTATTATTAAATAGGCTTAGTTTTCAGAGGTGTAAACCTGACCACTAAAATTACACCTGAAGTTGTTTGTCATATTAGTAAAATGGGACTTGTTTCATTGTTTTTAATTTAAGTTTTTGAGATTAAATATTCTGCTAACACAGTTGGGGCTATTTTAGGATTTTCTTCAATGTACAAACAAGATTGATTCATTAAAGAAAAATAAAACACATACCCAGCAATAAATTTGTGATGTCTTAAGGTGCTTTATCATTTCAGTTTGTTGTGCTTATTGATGATATGATCTTTTTAGTGTTTACTTCCTAGATAACCATCTTATAAATTATTTGTCATTTGTGTAGATAAAATTTGTCTTGATTAGGCTTTGGTATAAATGTACACTTTTGCTTTCCTAGGTGTCTCGTCATGCACGTCGAATATCTCAGATTCAGCAGCTTAACCAGATGCCTCTGTATCCCACAGAGAAGATTATTTGGGATGAAAATATTGTCCCAACTGAGTACTATTCTGGAGAAGGTAGGTATCTTCAAATATATTTGGATTACTTTAAACTTCTTAATTCAAAGGACTTATAGTTAATTCTATTTCATTAATAACCATTCCATAGCCTCTAATTCTGGGCAATATTTACTTTTGGCTACTTGAATGCCTTTTAACTTTCAGAAATAAAATCAGTTTTTATAAGCATTTTGAACTGAAGTGCATAAATTTTGATCAGTAATGAGTGTCTTCATTACCAATTAGATAAGCATAGATTAAAAAGAATAATCAAAGCTTGGGGTAAGTAATAAAACTATCTAATTTACTCTATGTATAAGCACAGAAAAACACATTAATACTGTTTGCCTCCTAGAAGTGAAATGTAGAGAGTTTGAAAGAAAAATGACTCGTATCAGAGTTTTACAGAAAGCAGGAAGTGAAGTCTTTTGAATGCCTTTAAAATAACTTTGTATTTTTCAAAATAAAAGTCAGTGTAGTGTGGTGAGGTTTTGTCACTTACAGTTTAAACTGAAAATCCCAAACTCTAATACATATCCTGACAACTAATATCTGTACAATACATCTGCTTATGCTTAATTTTGGGTATTAATTTTAAATGTGTTTGCCAGTAATTGTTTGTCAATTAATCAATGTATATAATGTTAAGGATAAAAGTGCTTATCTACATTAATCACAGAATGTCCCACTGGGCAATTCAGGATGGAATCCATAGTCTTTGTGGCAGTCAGGTGCCATAATAATGTTTAGGGAAAACATGGAATTTCTAATGTCAGCTTAATCTGTTTCTTTATTGCCACAGATCTGTTCCTGATGTCAGCTAAGTAATTCCATAAAGCTCTGCCACTGCTAGTGCTGTAGGAAATGTAGAGCCACTCTCTTCCATGATTGAGAATTAATCAGTCAGGGAAGATGTTTAAATTCTCTGAACCAAAATTGTTTTCTTTTAAATCTGATTTTTTTTTTTTATTTTAAAGCAAACAAAGCATTCTACTTTTAATAGCAATCTGGATATTCTTTGTAAATGAGCACACACACAGCAGAATAATAACGTATACTTACAACAGCCCTAATATTATGGTTTTTTGTTTTCTAACATGACTGAGATTCTGCAGAGTAACAGGTTCCTTTTTCCTTACCACAATGGTATCTGGAAACTGCAGTGTTAACTTGATCACTCTAATCTCTCCTGGAAAGTAATACTTGACCTGCTTGAAAATCAAATTTTCTTCTTAATCAGGCAAACAATCTGGCTGCATTCCAGAACAGGCAACATTCTTAACTCAAGGGCACAAGACCATCCAGTTATGCAGTTTCCTCCCCCATACTCACATCGGTGGAAAGTGTTTCTTTGAAACAGTCTGTTCCAGAGAATTACTTTAGTTAGGAAATACATATTTGTGTTTGTGCACACCTTCATATACATTTTTGTGTACTGTTAGGTCTGGTGGATTCTGTCACAACAGAGAGGTTTTGCACATGACAGTTCTGTTTCTGTGGGTGGAGAGGCAGTGTGTACTAAGGATGTTAAAGACTAGTTGACTATCCGATGATAAAATGCGCCTGCGTTGAGCCCAGAGTTAGCGGGACTTCCTGCTGGCTCCAGGCTGCATGCGGAGTTCCAGCTTTGAAATGCGAAAGAACCCCCCACTGAGGCTCTTGTACATTTCAAAGGAGGAATGTGGAAGTGCCTATCAAATAGTTCATGGAAATTCAATCAATGACTTGATTAGTAAATTAATCAATATTTAACATCCTTAGTGTATACATGAGTTGTTGCACACAAATGGAGAATACCTTTGAAAATTAAGCTTAAAAAATTACCTCTGTTCTTGAAGTGAAGTAGTGATATGGAAGAGAATAGCTACAGTAACATTGCCAGCAGAATGTAGATCATTAGTTAAGGCCATGAGTGCTGCTTCTCGTAATAGTGAGTCTGTAGAAATCCTGGTTTTAATGGTGCCCTTTTCTTTGTGAAACTTCCATTTATACCTATTAGTAAATGGGATTTTTTACTGATACACAACAAAAATGGACAGTTTTATTTTCAGAATAGTGAACTGAAATCAGTGTTTGAAAGAAACTGCCTTTGGTCCTATGTGATTATTCATTTCTGATCGACTAGTTTCATAGTTTCACATTGCAAAATGTTAATATTGTATGCTGTGCTGAATTGCAATCAGCCCTTTATATAATTTGTCTAACTGCATGCACATGCAGAACTATGTTAAACTTAACATCTTTAAGGTTGCAAAGGCCAGTACTCCAAAGTGGGAAATGATAGGATCTAGGCTTGTCTGTTCTTTCTTAATTCTAGGATTTTCTAATTTCTGAGTGCTTGAGTGGGATTTTTTTTATATGCAGTTTCCTAGGTTTTAAAAACAAACTGAACAACCAGAAATACCATCTGTCACAGTTCAGGGCCTGTATTTCAGTTGCACCTGTATTTGTTCTCAGTGGTCCAGCAAGTACACACCCTCCTTAGCCATCCTTTCTTATGTGTGGAAACACACTTTCTGCTGCCTTTGGATTGAGGTGTTTCCAGGCTGCACAGTTGCCTGCTTTCATTTTTATTCCCAGCACAGATAGCTTTCCTAGGGACATCTTCTCACTTTGGTTATCAAGTGTAACCATGACAGTTATAAATTACCACACAGTGTTTCCTATGCATCTCTACTTTATTCTTAACATAAAAAGGGTTATAGAGAAATCATTAAAAACAATAAAAGAATATACACGTTGGCTTATAAGCTTACCAGAGTTCACCCTAATATGCATTTTAGCAGGAGCAGTTTTTCAGCCCCTACCCAACAGAATTTTTTGTAGTCATAAGTTCATCATGGCTATAGTTCATACAAGCAGTCGATTGTGTGAGATCAGAATAGACCCAGTCCTCCTAATCCCATTCTAAGGATTGGGGCCATCCATGAACCAGGTTCCCTGCACATTTTCTGGATCAGGAAGAAGGCCGTGAGCCAGTTTTAAACAACTATATCTATCCAAAACCTCTGTCTCTCTGTCTCTCTCACTGGAGCATATAGTTTGAACTAGTATGCATAGCTCTCTAGAGTGCTCCAAAGGGTTGATAACAGAAGAAGTACATTAGCATTCCTCCACTTTCTATTCGAGAAGGTACATGCAGTGCTGCAATCACGCATACACAGTTGCATTATTAATGGAATGTACCCCAAAGGTATTTAATCCTATTCAGTATGGTTGAGTTTAATTAAATAAAGCTATTTTTTCAGAGTATTACAGGATATTGTCTCTGTGCCTACCGCCTCCCCCCCCCCCATCCTCCTCTGCTCAAGCAGTTAATTGGTTAAACATTATGTTTAATTGATTAAATGGGGTTTTACATCCCTAATGTGGACTGACCCTAGAGTGTGTCTGGATACTTTGTCAGTAGATTTCACAGAAGATTGCAACCAGCAGATGATGATGAGACTAAAATCTTGGGTTTCATTCCAGGCTCTGGAAATGGATATGCTGAACTGGGCACAGACTCTTTGGCCCATTCTTCCTGACATTTTATCTATCTATAGCTTCATGGAATAGAAATATGTTCTATCCATTTACTTTATTGGCAGTGAATCTCTGTGCTTGTGGAAGCCAACATGTGGTGTATGCCAGAAAGATTTCAAGGATAATATTGCATGTTACAAGAGGTTTTCATGCTTTCACAGTTCATAAACAAAGGTGTGAAACTAGGACAGTAGTCAAGTGAAAGTATTAAATGTGCAAAGATCTTTTTAGCATATTTACCATTTTTTCTCCTAGAAAAGTCTAGGTTTTTTAAAAAGACAGTGTGAGGGTTTTACCAGTTTAATATTTTTCCCCAGAAGTTTGGCTTTTTTGGGACATAAAAGGTTTTCATGGGGGAAGCGGATGGGGCTCTTTCAGATGGTGATATGGAAGATGTTGCTGCTTATGGACTGAAATCTACTCCTTTCTTCAGCCTCTTTCTTTAGCACAACCTTGTTTGCTTGCAGTGTGCAGGAGGGGAGTGAGAAGCAAAGAACTGGGTTCTGGCAGCTTAGGTAGTGTTTCTCAACCAGTGGTACGAGTACCCTTAGGGGTACTCGAGAGAAATCTGAGGAGTATGTCAGCACAACTGAAATTTGGAGAAAACTGAATTTTTGTTGTAAGTTTTACAGCGTTTTGTTATTTTTGTACTTTTTACACCCAAAGATTTCATCGCCTGCCCGGCTACAATTACGTTGTTTAAACAAATGTGTTGCCATGGTAGAAAAAATGTTTGTGTCTGAAAACTGTAGGTATTGGGGATATTTTTTTTAAAGGGGTACTTTATAAAAAAAGGTTGAGAAACACTGGCTTAGATGACCTGACCACTACATCCAGGGGAAGACTTTCTCAGCTGTCCTTTGGTGCATACCTGCTCGCCCTGCTCCTCTCTTGGTGGATGGTTTTGTTTACCAATCTTCTCCCGTTTTTTAAACAAAGCCTGATAATTTCCTAGGAAGCTAAAATTCAAAACCAAAGGCGTTCTAATTGAGCAGCATGTTAGAACTTGAGTTGCAGAGCAACTCTAGTATTCCCATAATGTAGACTGAAAATACAACTCTTTATTTTGGAGAGGCAGGGTGAGTGAGGTAGTAACTTTTATTGGACCAGACTTTTTTGTTGGTAAGAGAAATGAGCTTTCAAACTATGCATCACTTTTCTTGAGGTCTGAGAAGTACTTTGAATGTCACAACTAAACACGAATGTCACAGCTAAACACAAAGTCAGTCAGATAGTACGCACATATTCTAATGGACTATTCAAGGTGAAATGGACTATTAGTCTGGGACTAAAAGGGCTACAACACTGATGCTCTTTATTCTGGGTATTCTGTGCCCAATTTTTAACACACTTCGATCTTCCTCCATTGGTTGGGCATAATTAAAACTATTCACTTGAAGTTTCCTAGGAATGATTTTATGCCAAGGTGGAAAGATTTGAAAATTTTGAGCTAATTGGACAGGGAATTTGAGAGAACATGGTTCAATGAATGTAGAAATTTTGCCTCTAGAACATTTTCCGTGTGTGCGCACGCGAGAGAGAGGTGGTAGGTGTGTGTGTGTGTGTGTGTGTGTGTGAGAGAGTGAGAGAGTTTGGGTTGTTGGGGTTTTTTTTTGGGGGGGTCCCATCGTAGCTCCACTGCCTTGGCTTAGATTAAATACTTTTTGGAGTTTTTAATCTCCAAACCTGGCACCATTAATACTTGGGGGGGTTGTTGCTGTCATTATTTAGCCAGTTAAAACAATTTTCTGCATAAAATACCATCTCTGTAGTTCCATGTGCCTCAGTATGGATAGCTACAGTGCTGGAAATATAAGATACAGAATGAGGGGGGCCAGGTGGGAGGTGTGGTTTTTAGTTGAAACAAATGAGAAGGGACAGCACTAAGGATGTTAAGTATCAATTAATTTACTAGTACTAAAGATGTTAAGTATCAATTCATTTTCATTGACTACTCAACTAGTCATTAAGGAAGGACACTTTGAGCACTCACTTCCGGCTCAGGCTGCATCTGAGCACAACTCCTGGCTGCTACTCTGCACTCTTAAAGGGACAGAGGGGAGCCAGCGTGCAAAGATGCTGGCTTATTCTCTGCTCCCCCGCTGGGTATCGGGACAACCCTCGTGGTGCCCCTCTGCATTTTTTTAAAGGGATGCAGGAGTGGCAGCTGGCACCCCCTCCTCACACTGCTCCTCTGCATTTTTAAAGGGACACAGCAGTGGTAGTCGTCTTATACTGAGACAGACAAGTGGACAGGCTGCTGCTGCTGTGTGCCTTTAAAAATGCAGAAGGGCAGTGTGAGGTGAGTTGGGGAGAGGGGGGTAGCTGACGCTGCTGCTTCCCCTTTAAAAATGCGGGGGGGGCGGCAACATGAGGATTGTCCTGAGACCTGGTGGGTGACCAGAGAATGAGCCAGTGTCTTTGCACACTGGCTCCCCTCTGTCCCTTTAAGAGTGTGGATGAGGGGGCAGAGTGATCAAGTAGTTGATAAACTCCTGCTTATCGGGTAGCACTATCGGGTAGTCGACTACTTGACTACTCCTTCACATCTATAGACAGCACAGAGTGATGGGACCAGTATGGGCAGTACTTACCTCAGAGATAAATTATCTTTTCCTGTTCCTACTACTGTGCCCTCTTCATAGCTCCATCAACAAAAGTGTATTGGTGGGAGGTGGAAATAGAATAATACAACAAATGTTCATAAATAAAGAACCTTTACTTTGTTCCTATATCACTATTACTATGATGTATCCAAAATTAGCACCCTATCCTCAAACAATGTGTTCTTTTACTATATTACTGACAGGAAAATTAAAGGCAACCTTCAGGTTTATTTCTTCTGCTCCATAATGACTAGAGAAGGATGGAGAACATGAGGATTTTTTTTTCATTTTTCTCCCTTTCTGGTGTATCATCTTGTCTGGTTTTATGAGAGGTGTTTTTGTAAGTGTTTGGTGATGGTTATTGTGAGCACTATATAGTGAACGAATGATGATACAGAATCTTTGGATAAAGCAGCTCTTTGTTAAATGTTGTTTCTTCATCAGAAATAAAGATATCAACTTAATAATAGTAATTAAAAATCCTCCCTTCCTCTTTCAGTTGTTCAGGCTTTATCCTTAGCTCTAGTTTTCTAGTTATCAGTCTTAAAGCCTAGAAAAGCTTAAGTACTAATGTAAAAACAAGCAGAATCAGCCTGACTCTCAATTTTTTATTTGTTTTTTTTTGGTTTCTAGTAAAGAAACCACCTAACTTGTCCCATGAAGTGCATCATTTCTACATCAGAAACTTTTTTTAGAGAATTGTCCTATATGGTTGTTCTTAATGTGGTCATCTGTAGTGAAGTAAGACAAGTCTCTTTTTACCAATAACTGAAAATAGTTTGCCGTAGCAGTGCAAAGATAAGTGCCTTTGTATGTAACTGTAGTACCTAAAAGCGACAGTCAACAAACTAAAATAGCACTTGAAGGTGATTTGTAAAGGGATGTGTGGCCTTTGTGCTCCCCTTGTTGTTATATGTAGAAGAAAGTAACTCTTTTGTCATGATAGGAGAAGAATTAAAGCATGATGATGGAATTGCATATAATGTTTATGAATATGTAAAACCAGTGAATTTGTTAGAGTAACAGAAGAACTAATGTTTTCATTTTCTTAGGCTGCCTCGCTCTTCCTAAACTGAATTTACAGTTTCTGACTCTTCACGACTACCTTCTACGGAATTTCAACCTCTTCCGCTTAGAGTCTACATATGAGATCAGACAGGATATTGAGGATAGTGTCAGCAGGATGAAACCTTGGTAATATTTCTGTACTAACTAAAACAAACCTAACACCACACTTTCAGAAGTGGCTAAAGATTTTTTTGGGGTTAAATAAATAGTGATGTCTGCATTATAAAGTGTATATGTTCATCTAAATAGCAGCCGATTGTATCCACTTTTTATAGGAAGGTATAGCTGTGGTGTTCCATAATCTCTTCTAAAATACTGTTCTGTGCAAGATTAACTTTCTAATAATATTATGAAAATATATTCTGGGTATGGTTGCCCATGAAGATTGGTTGTGACCACTGTGTAACATTAAGACATTTTTCTTAAGTTTTAACTGCAAATTTCACTTTATCAACTATTGTTCTGATTTATTATTTGCATCTTTACTATGGATTAAGGATGGTAAATTGCAGTTTTCTGGCTAATCGTGTAGTCGATACAAATTTTATCGACTACATGATAAGTTAAGGGCCGCTTAAATTATTCAACAGTTTAAAGAAAATCTGAATGCAGCAATGGTTAATTGCTTGAACACCCCCCACCCCCCCCCCCTTTTTTTTTTTTTTTTTTTTAAGGCAATCAGAATATGGAGGCATTGTGTTTGGTGGATGGGCTCGAATGGCACAACCCATTGTGTCTTTCACTGTGGTAGAAGTGGCAAAACCCAATATTGGTGAAAACTGGCCAATGCGAGTACGAGCAGACGTTACAATTCATTTGAATGTAAGAGATCACATCAAAGATGAATGGCAAGGTACTCATTACTGACACAAAAATGAACTTTTGATACCCATCGTGGATACTCTCAGAATTTGGCATAAATATAGAGCTGTTAAAGTACCCTGACCCTAGTCAGTATTATGGTGCAGAAATAGCTATACTGCTGTTGAGGTTGGTATACAAGGTTTGGTTTTAACAGGAGATTTTAAACTTTTATATTGCAAAAATCCAATACTCAATATTTTTATGGTGCTTTGAAAATAAATTGATAGAGGAAAAAAATAAGTGTTTAAAAAATTCTTCTGTTCAATGGCTCTCCTCTTCCTTTCCCGATCATGTCACTTTTTCATACTCTTTTGCAAGAAATCTAAAATATTTGTTGTGCTAATCTCTAGAATATTAGTTATAGATAGATTGTGTCTCTAGAGAACCTTTTTTGTCAATAATGGACATTTATTTGCACCAAGTGGAATTTGCCAAATTTGACTATAAATCTGATGTATCACAAATGTACTTTTGTATACAAATAAACATGTCTGTCCTCATGTAAACCATATAACCTAGGAAAACATTCCTTGAGCTGGCAAAGAATGTACCAAGAATTAAAATCTTACCTCTGATGCTGTGAAATTCTCATACAGTTCTCTAAAACCATCAACCCCAACCTAGAAAATAGTTAGGGAACAGCCACTGAATGCTTTACTCTTAGTACCTACAAAAAAGGGATGGTTGGAGGCTGATCACATGATGGATCTTGGATGTTTAAATAGATACACCAAGCAAATAAGTTTTTTCCATGATCTCCTCCCTGAATCCATTCCTCTATATTGTGATGAGTTGTCAGCAGTTTTCACTGAAGGTGGGACTTCTGGACATAAAAATGTGATCCTCTATGGCCCAAGCTGAAAGAACTCACTGTTAGTTCAGTCAGCAGTAGTCTAATAAACTGTCTTCTGTGAAATGACAGCCATTCTCTATCTCGGCAGGGCAGAAAGGAACTGTTCCTAACCAGTCTTCCATTCTCTTTATTATGGCTCTTGTACTTAGCTTTAAATAGTCAGGTCTCTTCCTCATCAGTATGGGGTAAAGCGCCACTACACTCTCTAAATGACTTAGCCACCTGCATTCTGCTACAAAGACCTTTTACATCTGCACTTGAAAGGGAATCCTCTGAACTGTCATTCATGTTAAAATTCGACACTTACCACCAGGGACTTAACAAGTCTTTGAACTTTCTCACCCATTATCAAGACAGTTTCCCCAATTATCACCTGTAATACCATTAACTCACAAACATCCCACTCTCCCTACCTCTAATATCATCAATTCACAGACACTTACCTTCCTTCCTCCCCCTTCCCACCCCCCCGCCTCCTCCTTCTGTTCTGCAATGTGATTTGTCCTTTTCATATTTGTTCTTTTTTTTAATTGTATCCTTTGGTATATATGGTTGTGACTACTTTCTTCCACTATTTGATCTGAGGAAGTGGGTCTGGCCCACGAAAGCTCATCATCTAATAAACCATCTTGTTAGTCTTTAAAGTGCTACATTGTCCTGCATTTTGCTTCAACTATAATTTCAGGCTTTCACATACCATTACAGGATTCTACAATAATCTTTCACCCTTAGAGGGTTCTTTTTTGAAGAACCTACTTCATGTTTTTCATCCTGTTCAGAAGCTGTCTCCTTTCTATATGCCTGACGTGATACGCATCAAAGTAACAAACACAATTATAAGCTATCATCAGAACATACTCATGGTTTTTTGGTTTTTTTTTAAGCTGAGTGATTATTGCATAAGCCTCTGAATATGAAGTGTGTCGTCATGACACCAACCCATGCACTGTTCTGTTTTGTCTGCTCTAGTAGATAGTCGAACTACACAAACCAAGGAAATTTGGACCCGGCATGAATACTTTGGACAGAGGTGTGAATAAACTACACCATCTGGCCAACTTAGCTATGGTGACAAACCCCCTTCTGTAGATACTGTTAGACAAATGCTTTTGTCATGTATTTAATGTCATTTTGGTGATTACTATGCTCAATTACTATGCTGCCAGAAACATAGACCAAAGGTCCATCTAGCCCTGTAGCCTGTCTGCTGACAGTGGCCAGCACCAGGTGCCCCAGAGAGGGTGGACCAAAGACAATGATCCAGCGATTTGTCTCCTGCCATCCTTCTTCAGCCTCTGACAAACAGAGGCCAGGGATGCCATTTCTATTCCCTTGGCTAATAGCCTTGTTTGGACCTAACCTCCATGAAATTATCTAGCTTCTCTTGGCATATGCTATATCTAGACAAGGCTTGGCTGTCATTTTTGCAGAGGTAGTAGTTGGAAATCTGTTTATTTGCATCTCACTAGTAACTGATCTACAGCTGTGTATTGACATTGACTCACCTAAACTCACCAAACTGAGTGAGTGGGCAACAAAATGGCAAATGAAATTTAACGTGGATAAGTGTAAAGTAATGCACACTGGGAAAAATAACCCCAACTATACGTACAGCATGATGGGGGCTAATTTGGCTACAACAAATCAGGAAAGAGATCTTGGAGTTATCGTGGATAGTTCTCTGAAAACTTCCACACAAGTGTGCAGTGGTGGTCAAAAAGGCAAATAGGATGCTAGGAATTATTAAGAAAGGGATAGAAAATAAGACCCAGAATATCTTACTGCCCCTGTATAAAACTGTGGTACGCCCACATCTTGAATACTGTGTACAGATATGGTCTCCTCACCTCAAAAAGATATTTTGGCCTTGGAAAGGGTTGAGAAAAGGGAAACTAAAATGATTAGGGGTTTGGAACGGGTCCCATATGAAGAGAGGTTAAAGCGACTGGGCCTTTTCAGTTTAGAAAAGAGGAGGCTAAGGGGGGGATATGATAAAGGTCTATAAAATCATGAGTGGTGTAGAGAGGGTCGATAAAGAAAAGTTATTTATTAGTTCCCTAAATAGAAGAACTAGAAGACACCAAATGAAATTAATGGGTAGCAGGTTTAAAACTAATAAAATAAGAGTTTTTCTTCACACAGTGCGTAGTCAACCTGTGGAACTCCTTGCCAGAGGAAGCTGTGAAGGCTAGGACTATAACAGAGTTTAAAGAGAAGCTAGATAATTTCATGGAGGTTAGGTCCAAACAAGGCTATTAGCCAGGGGATAAAATGGTGTCCTTGGCCTCTGTTTGTCAGAGGCTGGAGAGGGATGGCAGGATACAAATCACTTGATCACTGTCTTCGGTCCACCCTCTCTGGGGCACCTGGTGCTGGGCACTGTCAGCAGACAGGCTACAGGGCTAGATGGACCTTTGGTCTGACCCAGTACGACCGTTCTTATGACTCTGAAAAGGGACTAGGTCTCCAAAATAAAAATTACCTATACCAGTACTGTTGGAATGATATAAAAAGTAAGGCTACCCATTAATCATGGGTATTTTTAGTAAAAGTCATGGACAGGTCACAGGCATTAAACAAAAAATTCATGGATCTTGACATGTTTATGGTACTATATACCTCTAACTAAAACTTGGGTGCTCTGCTGGTGGAGAGAGAGAGAATTTGGCAGGATTGTCAGGCTCCCTCTGCGTGGCTTCTCAGAATCAGCAACATGTCCTTCAGCTTCTGGGTGGAGGCAGACCAATCGGAGCTCTATGCACTGCTCCCACCCTGAGCACTAGGAACAGCACCCAGTGGGAGCTGCAGAGGCAGGATGCAGCGCAGCCTGGCTATGCCTCTGCCTAGGAGCCATGGGACGTATTTGGGGAGCCCCCTGAGGTAAGCGTCTCCCAGAGCCCTCCTCACCCCCTCGCCTGCTCTAAGCCTGGGGTTGAAGCTCCACTGCTATTGGGGAACACGGTGTCCTGAAACTATCCCAGCAGCAGCTACCTAGGGGCTTCCTAAATTGCTTAGGCAGCTTCTGGGTTAACTGTGCTAGTTGCTGCAGAATCCACTGAGGTCATTAGAGGTAATGGAATTCATGACCTTTGTGACAGATTTGCAACCTGAAGGAAAAGAGAATGTCTGCAGTACATGAAAGTCTGCCTTTAGTGTGTGTTTGTTAATAACTTACCATATTTATTTTATATTGTATGATTAACTTTAAATGGATATCAAGATGGACAACCGCATTAGTCAGTTTGAAAAAAAATCCTCCAATACTCTGAGGAAATTAATAGTTGTACAATTTTTATTCTGGAGGGCTCTAAAGTGAAAACTACTCAACTGAATAGGTGCCTGACAGCAAGCCCAATATGCTGAATATTACATTTGCATATCTTCTGTGTTATACTGTGATTCCATTTCCTTTTGTTAGCAAGCAGACTATTGCTTGTACAAAAACAGAGCAGACAAGTAGTGCAGAGAGATAGTGTGACCTACATGCTTGTAGTCACCTTTCCACTGAAAATATAAAATGAATCAGATTTGTTCCACAACTTTAAAGGAAACAGACATTGACTTGGTTAAAGCCAGTGTTTTTCCGGTTGTGCTTTTTCATACTGTCAGGAATTGCCAGCTGGCACAGTATATCCTAGGCTTCCTAGTGCAATATCAGTAGGCAACACTTTGTGCTTGGGGAATTGCACTTGAATTGACCTTGTTGGCAAGCTGCATAGAAGCAATTATTCATATTCTGCAGTGACATTGACTGATAATCCTTAAATTCAGTTAGAGTGAGACCTGTTAAATATGCTAGAGTTGGATAGTTTGTTGATTTTTAGACGGACATGTAGTACGAATGCTAAATGCAGAACATGCATTGAATTGATAGCAATAGATGTAATTTTTGGATTGTGATATGAGTTTAAGTCCCAGCTCAGATCAGATTGTGTAACATAGTAACTTCTCAGTAGTATTTATTAATAGAAATTTCCGTGTTAGGTTTATTGTTGTCTTATGGGAAAGAAGGCAAGATACCTTATGCGCAGTACAATAACAATAAAGACTCCTGCGGCGCCCTAGAGACCAACAGATTTATTAGGGCATAAGCTTTCATAGGAAAAACTCAGTTCATTAGATGAATTAGAGTGGAACTTACAGAAGCAAGGGTATAGATATACAGTAAACTTCCGATAATCCGGCACCTTTAGGACCCGGGGGGTGCTGGATTATCAGATTTGCTGGACTATCGGAAGCGGGGACTATAAGGAGTCTGGGGTGGGGGGGATGCCACCCCAGATCCCTCATAGCCCCCACTTCCGATAGTCCGGCTTTGCCCCAGGCGTCCCTGATTCAGCCGCTGCTGGTCAGTTTCAGCAGTGGCTGACTTGGGGATGCCTGGGGCAGAGCAGCTGGGGTGCTGCTGGGTTGGTCCCGCAGCGCCACTCCTCGGCGCTACTGGACCAACCCGGCAGCACCCCAGCTTCTCTGCCCCAGGTGTCCCCAAGTCAGCCGCTGCTGATACTGATCAGCGGCTGACTCCAGAAAGCCAGAGGCAGAGCTGTTCTGCCCCAGGCTTCCTGGAGTCAGGCTCCCGGGTTGGTCCCACAGCCCCAAGGGGCAGCACTACTGGACCAACCCGGCAGCGCCCCAGATGCTCTGCCCCTAGCTTCCCTGATTCAGCTGCTGGTCAGTTTCAGCAGCGGCTGAATCGGGAAAGCCGGGGGCAAAGCAGCTCCAATGGTCCGGCTGTTCGGAGCACTTCCGGGTTCCTGATGGTGCCAGACCATCAGGAGTGCCGGACCAACAGATGCTGTACTATCGGAGTTTTACTGTATTTGGAATTGATCCTGCTTTGGACAGGGGGCTGGACTTGATGACCTCCTGAGGTCTCTTCCAGCCCTAGGATTCTATGATATTAGGAAGAAGTTGCTTGTGTTAATGAAGCTTATCAAGTCAGTGTAGAAGTGGGTCATTTACAGCATTTGGTGAGGAGATATGAATATCTAGAGAGGTGAAATTGCCTTTGTAATTAGGGATGTTAAATATCAGTTAATTGAATAGTTGATTAACTTCATGAATTCTTATTGGTTACTCAACTATTCTGTAGGCTGTGGGGGTGGGGCCAGCAGCCAGTGCACTCCAGCCCCGCTCCCAAGGAGCCCCCTGCCACTCTGTGCTGCTGCCTCTGTTTTAGAGGCAGCAGTGTGGGGTTCCAGGTGGGAGCTCATCCAAGAAGGGACCCAGTTCAAAACCCAGCTCCTCTCACTGACTGGCTACCTGCCAGCCTGCGCTGCTGCCTCTAATATAGAGGTAGCAGTGCAGGGTGGCAGTAGCCTCTGTCTGGTGGGGAGAAGAGAGTCAGAGCTCCAGGACCTGGCATGAGCTGGAACCTAGCTAGGCTGCGTGCCTGCCTGGCTTCTAAAACACTTTAAATTCAGAGCCACAGTGGGGTTAGGTCCCAGACCTGGTGTGAGCTAGGCTGCTGGCCAGCCCTGCTAAAAATTTACAGGTGGGGTGGGGAGGAATGCATGTACTCTTATAGAATTAACCTATTTATTTTTGCTTATCAGTTAATATAGTACACTATTACATCCCTATTTGTAATGCAGTCTCTAAGTGTCATAGGACTCCTCCTTTTTGCAGATACAGACTAACACAGCTATCCCTCTGAGGGTATGTACAGTATGGTAAGATAACTATAAAGGTTTTACTGTTTCAAACATTTCTGATTTGTTATTGACTCTCAGTGCCATAAGGGCAGACGATGGACCAAAGTACTTTCTGAAAAAGCAGTGTATTTGATATATGCTGGACAGTTGATAGGTTTGTTCTAGGAACTCAGAAGTACCCTGAATCTGCATTCTGCAGGCCCGGTCTTTCTCTTTCCTGGTGTCTCTATAAATCGATCAATCTTTTACATCTTCTCTGAAAAGTGATTCATTCTGACTATTTGTCTAAACTTCTTCTGCTCCTCTCTTTGCTGCTTACCTTTTTTTCCATTTCCATATTGTTTAAGCAGAATCTTTCCAGAAGGCAAGTTTAAAAATAATTATGTATTCTAGCCTAATTGTAGGATCAAAACATTTTAAAAAATTGATTCTGTATCCTCTACGTGTAAGACCTATTCCCATAGTATGAATTACATTGACCACTGAAAGGATATCATGTTGATCTTAGCCAAAAGGTTAAAAAGAAGCTTTCTTGTACACATTTCCTGTTGTTTGTTATGGAACAAGCATAGCATCTGCTGGTGAATAAACCAAGTAACTCAATTTTCTCCTGTTTCCAATCAGGTCTGCGCAAACATGATGTTTGTTTTTTAATTACGGTACGTCCAACACAAACTTATGGCACAAAGTTTGATCGAAGGAAACCTTTTGTTGAGCAAACTGGCCTGGTGTATGTCAGGGGATGTGAAATCCAGGGCATGCTGGATGATAAAGGACGTGTCATTGAGGAAGGTATAATTGTTCTTAAACTAAGCTTTTTTTTTTAAGCTGTTTTTTGTTACCCAAAATGAATACTTTATTGCTTATGTTGATTCAATTTAGGTGTGTGCATGCCCACGTGCAGTGACCGTATCATAGCCAAAGAGGTAAATCTGAGGCGTGATTATTGCTAATTGAAAGCTTTTCCTAATATCCTGCCATGTTGGCTTGCAATACAGTATATTTGTCAGAGACTTTTCCCTTAGTGGAATCTGTGAGATCAACTGTGGGGTTCCTTTGAGTACTGTGTTCATACATCCATATATTAGATGCCCCAACCTTATACCCCCTCAGTTCCTTTTTACTGCTTGTGACAGTTGGTTAGAGTGCCTTGTCTTGCCTTTAGTGAGATGGTTGCTGAACTCTCACTGAGTACTTCAGCTTTGGTGTGAGATGCACTGCTTTCACGATTCCCCTTTTATGGTGCCGAAGAAATACCAAGAAGATAGCAGCCCTCAGCACCAAAGAACAAGTGGGCTGTGGGCAAAGGGGTTTTGTTGGGCCGTATGCCCATTGTTGGGCTTCATTGGGGTACTCTGAGGTTGTACTTGCCAGCTTGGCCAGGGATTCACCTCCAACCCTAGAAAGTGGCAAAGGTCCCTTTCCTTTCCCAGGGCTTGTAGCAGTAGTGGTGGCCAAAGAGCAAAGTTGACTGGCTCTGCAGGTGTCACACCACGTGACTGTCCTGGCTATACCCCATCACAGAAAGGGGAACCTATAGGAGTGCAGCCTCACAGGAGAGTGAAGCACCTCTTAATTACCAGACTGCAGGAACACATTGTCTCTGTGACCTCAGTCCATGGCTCCTGAGCTCTTCAGCTAAACAGCTCAAGTCCCCAACATGCTTCCTCGCTTACTAGGCATGTGATCTCCCTGGTCTCTATCATCCCCCTGCCTGGATCTGGGAGACCATGATGCCAGTCCCTTACCTCAGATACCAGCAAACGTTCTGTCACAGGTCACCCTTCACCAGGTTATCTCCTAGATGTTGGTCACTATCTTGGAGGGGCCACTTGGAAACATGCCAACCTTGGTACCACTCCTCCAGCAGACATTGCTACTTGCCTTTACGTTGCTGATCACTGTCCAAACTCAGTTGGAAAACCCAGATCTCTCTGGCTCCACCGTGGTTGCTGGAGGGATAGTGGTCTTGATCAGAACAAGAATTAGCATGGCACCCTGACAAGGAAATTCTATGTGGCATGTCATTGCAGCACTAACCATGGTGCTGTTGCAGTCCCTACCCAGTGGTTTTGGGGAGAGGCAGTAATGCTGGTCTCTCATATTCCCAGCCCTTCCTGGCTGCCTTGGATAAGCCAGCCATGGCACCACTGGCATGGTGGTCAGAAAACCTTACTGAGCTAGATGTAGCACCAGTGCACTGGACCCAGGCACCACAGGAGCCTTCCCTGGACAAGGAGGAGGAGCACACTCTTTGCAAGTGGGATAGGCCCCCTCATCATACCCTAATAAGGCTGTGGCCAGGCCATTCCACTCCAGCAATCCCTAGGATGACTTCAAGGAGCACCAGGCATGCCTTAAATGAGTGGCTGAGAACTTTAAATCTACAGGTTGATTAAGTCACAGAGAAGGCTGATTATCTCTTCAGTGTTATTTTGGCAACCTCCTGGGCTTAGGTTGCACCTTTATACCCAGGTGTCCTTAAAATTGCCAAGGCATCGTGACAAACACCCTCCTCTCTTCTGCCAGCATCTAAGAAGGCAGAAAATGAATACTACATCTCTGTGAACGGATTTGCTATATATGCATCCCCTGCAGTATCACTAGTCATGTCTGCAATAAACTAAAGGATCAGACAGGATCAAGTTGGTGGCACACTGAAGAACAAAGAGGCCTAAAGACTTGATGACTTGTTTGGCAGGAAAGTTTATTCAAGGCCCAGCCTACAATTCAGGATCTCTAATCACCCTGGGACACAATAATTTCAGTCGATAGGACTCCCTGAATAAATTGAATCATGCACAGGAGTTCTCTGTGCTGGTGGACAAAGGCCTGTTCATCTCCAGGGAGTCCTTCAAATGGTCAGGGACACCACTGAGTTGGCAGACAGGATAGGATGATTGCATTTGCAGTAGACTCCTCTGGGTTGTCCCAAGAGTTGCAGGCCGTGATTCAAGACCTCCCTTTTGAGGGCACTGTGCTTTTAGATTATGGATTTATGGCTGCACGGCCTTAAAGACTCCTGAGCCACCTTCTCTTTCCGGGGTCTTTATACTCCGTAACAGTCCAGGAAGCCTTTCCATTCTCTGCCTTCTTCCCCTCAGCAGTCTAACTTTTGGAGAACTTCCTGAGTGGGCTCCTACAGGAGGAGAGTTAAAGACAAGGAGAATAAGCAGCAATACCTATCCTCTTCCCAACTTTCTGCACATCCTGATTTTCCCCATTGCCAAAGAGGCCAAAAGTATTTGCTCCCAGCCAGTCTGATAAATCCATCCCTACTCTTCCTCAACTGTCTCTGTCCTTTCTAGTTAACCTGGTCCCTTATCACCTCACCACCATTGGGTGTTCGATTCAGTTTTGTCAGGCTTTATCCTATAGTTTACTGCCATCCATCCATCCATCCCAGTCTCCTTACTGTCCCTCTTCAGGGACCTTCTCAGGAGCTCGACAACTTCTTGCACATGTGGACAGTGGAGGAGGTCCCCTGGGACATGGAAGGAAGACGATTCTTCTCCTGTTGCTTCCGAATTCTGAAAACAAAAGGGACCCTCAGATCCATTCTGGACCTGCATTGCCTCAATAAGTCTCTCAAGCAGTTGAACTTTTGAATGATCTCCTTGGCCTCCATCATCATCTGGGAGACTGGTATGCCATCCTCAGTTTAAAGGGATGCTTGTTTTCATAACTGCATCTTAGGACACCAATGTTTCCTTCATTTCATGCTGGTCTAATGGCATTTCCAGTTCACAGCAATGCCATCGGTTTCTCTTTGGCCCAGAAAGTGTTCACAAAATGCATAGCATCTGTGGCTGCTTACCTGCAATTTTGTGGTATCCAAATTTATGCATTCCTCAATGACTGGTTTATATGGGGCTGGTCCCAAGACCACGTGTGGAGGCATCTTGCTCATCTGTTCTAGGGATGTTAAATATTGGTTAATTGAATAGTTGATTAACCTCATGAATTCTTATCCATTACCCAACTATTCTGTAGTCCCTGGGGGTGAGGCTGGCAGCCAGTGCAATTTGGCCCCACTCCCAAGGAGCCTCCTGCTACTCCGTGCTGTTGCCTCTGTATCGGAGGCAGCAGCTTGGAGTGCCAGGCGGGAGCTGGTCCGCAAGGAGAGCCAGTTTAAAGACCAGCTTCCCTCATGGACCAGCTACCTGTTGCTCCACCCTGCTGCCTCTGATGGAGGCAGGGGGGATGGCAGGGGGCTTTTGGGGATGGCAGAGCAGCCCCTGTTCAGGATGGGATCTGAGCTCCTGGACCTGGTGTGAGTTGGAACTGAGCAAGGCTGCTTGCCCATCTGGCTCCTAATATGCTTTAAATGTAGAACAGCTATGGTGGTAGGTCCCAGACCCAGCACAAGCCAAGACTGAGTGGTGCTGCTGACCAGCTTGCTAAAAAACAAAAATGTACTGGCATGGGGGTCGGGGGAGGAAGGGAACAAATGCATGTCTATAGCATTAACCTATAAGCTTTTGCTTATCGGTTAATTGACTACACTGTTACATCCTTAGTCTGCTATACCTATCACAACCTGGGCTAATAATAAATGAAACAAAGTCAACCTTGACAGTGGAACACCTAGAATTCATTAGCAGCTCTCTCCTCCACCCAGGTCAGAGCTTTTCTTTCCTCCTCCAAGCCATAATAGCCATCATCTCTTGTATGTGAGCCCACCAGCTCATTACTGCCCGCATGTCTCTGACACTATTGGGTCACATAGTTGCATGCACTTGCAGTCCTGCAGTCATGGCTGTTGTCAGCTTTTATGTCCCCAATTGGCACAACCTGGACTGGGAGGTCAGGATTCCAGACAGGTTGCTTTCATTTCTCACTTGAAGGCAAGATCTCACAGTACTATATGAAGGAATCCTCTTTGCACCTTCGGATATGTCAAGGCTTTTCCTCACTCTGACACTTCGTGTGCAGAAGTTGGGGGCCCGCAAGAGACCTTAAAGTACCCTGCCACTAAAATTTCAGTTAAAAAAATAAACAAACACCCCAAGGTCACAGTTTCCCTAACCTTGATTGGTATGCTGCTACCATCCAAATGCAAAAAACCCTTGGAAGCCAGGAAGATACAATTGGAAATTTTTTCCTGTGGGGTAATACCCCAAGCTCTCTATACCTCTCTCCCTCAGGAAAGAGTTGAAAACAAACTGAAGCTTCTTAATACGGGGCCTTCAGTCTCAGGCACATGCAAAAAGAACATCCTTCCTTCTAGGACTCAGGAATCAGATCTTAGACTAAAAAAAAAGGTGATTTTATTACCAAAATAAAGACAGCATATTTGGTTGCTAGGTATTATAGAGCAACTAAAAAAAAAGTTTTAAAGCACAGAGAATTGATTCCTGGGGATTTGGTTTCAGTTATAGTGCACAGGGGGGTTTAGCACAAAGGAGTTTAACCAAACTAAAAAAAATAAAATATCTTGATCACCTCTAACTAACCATTGTTTGTTCACTTACATATCCTTTATTCTAAGGTTCAGTCTTTCCTTAAGCCTGGTTATCGCTGAAAAAATCCATACCTTTTATTCCTGGCTTAGTCCATCGCTCTTCCCATCTACTGATATGAACTAGTGCGCACACAGGAGACCGAAGCAGGCAAAACCTGTTTCATTTAAAAAATGTATCTCTGTCTTCCCACTGGCTTTTCTGGCTCCCTGCCAAGACTTCCTAGATACCTACTGTTCTGGGTTTTACCCTTTTGTTACGGTATGTTGGGATGCCTAGAAAAGGGTAGTACCCCTCTCGTCTGTCATAGGACGCATTAATGACGCTTGTCTCTGATGCTTTGGATCTGGGATGGGGAGCTGTCATGGTCATGAGGGATGGCTAACAGCCTGGGGACTAAGGGGTTAATTGTACCCAGCCAGGTAGCAGTCAGCCGATAGAAATGCAGATAGAGATTTTCACACTGAGAAAAAGGAAATCATACTTGGAAATATGCGCTTCAAAGTAAATTAATCTTAATTGTTTCAAAAGTGATAATTTTTCTCCTAAAAAGTGTCTATTAATCTACTTTCAGCACTGTTTTTTGGTTTAATCTAACTTTTTATTTGTGTTTCAAATATGAATAGGACCAGAACCGAAGCCAAAACTTAAAGGAGATTCAAGAACGTTTAGAGTATTTCTGGATCCTAACCAGTATCAACAGGACATGACAAATACAATCCAAAATGGAGTAGAAGATGTCTATGAAACATTCAATATAATCATGAGGAGAAAGCCAAAAGAAAATAATTTTAAGGTATGCTATATTAGAGTTGTTCTTAGTTGTTTCTGAATGTGTTGAGTGGGAAGAGTTGTTGGCACTTAAATACTATGTCATTGACAGAGATTGTTTGATGGGAAAAAGCTGGCCAGAATTCATTTCCCTAAAATTGTTTAACTGCAGTGTTGGTGCTAGATTAAGGAGTTCTGGGTCTGTGTACGTAATAGCAATTGGGATTGCCTTAGAGTATGGGATTGCCTGAGGTTGCAGGGGAGATCAAGTCCAGGGCCCGTCCCCCAGTGGGAAGCTCCTTAGTAGGGTTGGATCCTGCCCTTCAGGATGGGAAGCCCCATGGTGGGGTTATTGGAGGGCTGACCCAGCTCTTGCCCTGCCGAGTTGGCTTGGCTCACCTCTTTGGACTATTGGTTCTTGCCAGAGTGTGTAGCTGGAGCCCTGCCTCCTCCCTGTTCCTGAGTTGTCTTTGTTTGTGGGGATGTTTTTGTTTGGGGCTCTATGGAAGTGCACCAAGTACATGGTTAATCTGGGGGTGGATAGTATATTAAATGCTAAGAAAATCTGTAAAGATGAATCTTAAAAATAATAGATGTTTGAAAATATCTGTCAACTTCTGAAATTAATCTATACACAATTGAGGAGGTTATACTCACTGGAAGTCTGCTGATAAGTTTCTGACTACAAATAGAAAGGTCACACACAATTGGTTCAACTAGAAAACACTACTGAGAGGGAGAGCCCTGCACAGACGCACAATTTATATCCAAGCATATAAAGTAGATACCCCCAGAGCTGCGAGACACTAATGAGTGAGACCAGCAGGGCCATGACCAGTGATCAGGCCAGGAACAGCAAAAGCAAAAGTAGCATCATGTTGGGTTGCCATTTGCAGGATCCAGTGCCTAGCTGTCCCCAGCCCTGCCCACTGGAGAGGGCATTAGGTTCACTGGTGGGTGTCCCTGGTCATGCTAGTGTATAATGGCAGTCAAAAAAGCTGACATTTCAACTGCTGCTGCCGCCCTTTCTGTTAAGATTAAAGAAGCTTCCTGGTATGACTTGGATATTCAAACATCTTCAGATTTGAAAGCAAACAAAGAAAAAAAACAAAACAGAACATTTGGTGTTTATGTATATTCCACTGCCAATGTGTATGGGGCAAATATAAACAAAAAAGACATTGCCATTAAATAGATATGGTGGATTCTTTGTGTGTATGTATACAATCCATGCATTACAAAGTTGAATGAAATTCTAGTTTTTGTAGGGGATTGTAGAACATGATCTGTGAAGCTGCTTAAGAAGGGAAGCAAAAAGGTGCTGCTCTTTTTAATAAGACTGGAAGAATATATCTGAAATGAGACAGTGACTTATATTTTAAAACTATTGCTGACAGCTACAAAATGAAGCACTGAAAAGTCAGAATAGGCCAAAAAAACCCAGCTGCATAAAGTATTACTTATTCATTTTCCTAAATTTCACATTTATTCAGTGAAGCCAAAACAAATAAAATAGTGCTCAGGTTTTCATAAATTGGAGTGCAGATTATCTGTGTGTATTGTATACCTTCTCACCAACTTCAACTAGATAACAGAAAGCAAGGTATGACTCTGGAATGATTAATGTTAATAATGCATCAGGCAGTCAGAAGACAGCTTTATTTTTATGCTGAGCCTGCAGGGGAAAGAGCAGCCAAAAAACTTGGGCAGTATAGTAAATTAAGCAAATATGACAGCAGTAGCAAGTACAAACATAAGGGGATTGCTAGATATGATAGTCAGCACTTCTGTGTGGTAGCTCAGCAGTGTTACCTTTTATGGGATATTTTACAAAATTTACATACACAGATTTGAATAATTCATCTAAGTCATTTAACATTAGGTCCCACCTAACATTAGGGACCCATTTCTAAACTTTTCCATCCAAAAGTGAATAGTGTCATTTAGGACAGGGATGGGCAATAATTTTTAATGGTGGGGAGGGGGAGGGGGAGGAAGAGCATGCCAAGATTTTGGTAAATGGCCAAGGGCCGCACTTCTGTGGAGGAGTGCAGGGCCTGGGAAGGCGGTAGAGAGCTTAGGATAGAGGAATGGGGTATAGGAAGGGGGAGTGGGGTCTGAAAGGGAGTTTGACTGAAGGAGTTAGGTTATCTTGAGTAGAGGCTTGGGGTTCAAGAAGGGATTCTGGCCAGAGGGAGGGATATAAGAGGGAGTACAGGGTCTGGGAGGGAGCAGTGACCTGGAGGAGGTGGGGAGAAGGGTTTGGGGGGTGACATGGGGTAGGTGGTGGAGGGTGGCTCAGGACAGGACGTTTGGGGGAGAGAGGAGGTGGGGTGACAGAGCCAGGCTCTGGCTGGGAGGCACTTACCTAGGCAACTGCCAGCCAGCAGCCCAGTAGGAACCTGAGACCGGCTCCTTACCTATTTGCTGGGCTGGCTGCTCCACGTGGCTCTGCTCCAGTACAGGGAGGAAGAAGGGAGAAAAGGGAGAAGGCTTCACTTGCTGCCCCAGTCTCCAGCACAATTTCTCAGGTATTAGGTGGAAACTAGCCAATGGGAGCTGAGGGATTTTGCTAGGGAGCAGGGACAGCGTGTGAAGCTTTCTGTCCCTCCCCAGTGTCCATAGCAATTAGCAGCCAGTGGTGTGAGCTCCTGTGTAGTAAGGGTGCTGGCAAGGTGGTTGTGGGCCAGATCCAGTGGCTTGGCAGGCCGGATCCATCCTGCTAGCTGCCTCTTGCCCACCCCGATTTAGAAGGATAATCTAAGATATTTCTGTGTTGTAATCAGTTGTGCTGCTTCTGAGAAATAAGATCTTACTAACCCACACAATCTATTCCCTTTTACCCCCATCATTCAGCATCACCATCTCCTAGATGTGACATGACATTTGTTTTCTGTTTTTGGCTTATGCCAGAAGTTTGGGGAAGCATCTAGGGCATCAGGTACTGGTATCTCTGTGAAGTCATGAATCTAAACTAGTCCTTAACTTTACAAACTTTTCTAATTTGCCTTTGAATTTTTTGTCCTTCTGATATCATGGATTATTAAAGTTGAGGGAAATTAAATAAGAATTATAAATGGATTTACTCCTAGTATGCATTTAAGTTGCCAGTTCAGCTGGAAAACTTGTCATTTATACCCAAAATGAAATTTCAGACATTTTCTGCTGATTTGTGCTTCTCAGTTGGCTTAACCCTGTGAATGTTTGTAGTGTGTGCATTGTATGCACACAGATGACACTCAGGAGGGTGGAAAGCTTTACACAGCTCATCTGATTTTGCTTATTAGTTGACTGATTTTAGATGAATAACTTTTTAGAGATTCTGGTACTAGACTGTTAAGTGAGTTTGAAAAAAAGAATCATCCTGAAGGATCCACACTTCTAGTATCTGAACAGTGCTCAAATACAAAGTGACACAGTTCCTCAGCTTAATGGAAATGCTGAATAGGAAGTTTCAGTAGTTTCTAAATAGAACAGATAGTATAAAATAATGCTATTACATCCTTGTGTTCCCAGTTTATTCCTGGCCTATAACTTGCAAAAAATTATTTTGAGATAATTTTTTTTTTGTTTCTTTGCATTTTTTTCTGGTTCTGACACCTTTTCCAATCATAAGGATTATGGAATAAGAACTTTCTGGCAATTTTGATGATGATGCTTGAGGCAGTATAAAACACAGCATGCCCATCTGTAGATACAGTGTATTTGCTTTGCAGCACTGAGAACAGTGCTATTATTAGCAAATTCAGCATCCTGATCAAACACACAGGATATACATTTACAGCATCAAAGTGCCACTTTTAAAGAATCACACTTTTGACTGCTCTGGTACTTCGCTGTTGATGATTGGTGGCATTATGAAGACACCATTGTGAACCAAACAATCCAGTTTCTTTTGAGCTAAATTAGTTCTCACTGATGGGATATATCATAGTTAGACTGTTTAGCTTGAAGAACACTGACATTTTGTTGAACTGGCTGTGAAAATATAGCAATTGATTCAATCTAACCAAGCACCTGTCTGAGGAAAAAACTTTTTTCCTCTGGAACACACTGGGATATGGGGTAGTTCAGAGAGATATTAATCTTTAGTATGTTGCATTGTGATGATAAAATATGTTACTTCTACTAATTCATCTATTTTGTCACTGTCAGGCTGTTCTGGAGACTATTCGGAATCTGATGAACACAGACTGTGTGGTTCCTGATTGGTTGCATGACATCATCCTTGGATATGGAGACCCAAGCAGTGCTCATTATTCGAAAATGCCAAATCAGATTGTGTCTCTGGATTTTAATGACACCTTTCTCTCCATTGATCATTTAAAAGCCAGTTTTCCTGGATATAACATAAAAGTAACTGTTGACAATCCAGCTCTACAGAAACCCCCTTTCAGGTGATCCAAGAATCTTAGATGTACTTGGTTTTGTACTGTCTGAACACTTAATTCTCAACTTAAACTATCCTATCAATCTAATTTCAGTTTTATTTCTAAAATGTACCCTAGTGAAGTTGGTACTTGAAAACTAGACTATAAGTCCTTTTTAGTTCAGTGACTCAAGTGTGGGTTTTTTTGACTGAGAGTATAGTTCATAAAAGTTGCTATTGTAATTTATTATAAATACTGTAATATTCCAGTGGCATCCAGAAGCCAAAATTAAGATCAGGATATCATGTGCTGCACTCTATACAAGTGCATATGAAAACATTACCCTAATCCAACCTATTGGCAATCTATAGGAAAAAATGATATAAGAATGGTGAGGGTACAATCAGTGTATACAGCCTCTCTCCGACTTATGAACCGGTTATGGACCAAGCAATTGGTCGTAACTCGGTTTGTTCATAAGTTGGACCCCATTGAGTTACATGTGACCGCTTTTCGTAAGTGCGGATCGCATTCGTAACTCGAGGTCCGCCATTTATGACAGTTTCGGTCGTAACTGTGAATGGTCTTAAGTCAACCGTTTGCAACTCAGGGACCGGTTGTATACAGCTTTTACATTTGACATTTTTTCTATCATAAATACAAAAAACATCAACTGTTCCTGTCTGTCAACCTAGCCATCATTTAATTAGCTAACTCAGTGGTCCCCAACCTTTAGAGGCTCCCGGGCGCCCGGGGGCGGGGCCGCGCATCCGGGAGCACGCCAGGGGACTGGGATGCCCTTGCACCCGGTGCCGGCATGTGCCCTAGGGCCAGGGCTGGGGCTGCCCT